ATAAACACACAGAGCACCGCGTGAAGAGAAATGGCAGGAAATGAAGATGGCTATTTGTCACATTTTACGACAATAACATTAATAACAAACAATAAATTTACATGGACATATAAGACGCGGTAGGTAGTGAGAAATCCCTTCTACTTACAATACCCCAGCCCGTGGTGTGGCTCCGGCTGCGGGGCTGTTTTATTGCTGCCTCCCTCTCTTTTCTCTCTCTCTCCCTCTCTCTCCCCCTCTCTCTTTTTTTTTTTCTCGGGGTACAGGCTTGTTTTTCAAAGGACAGTTGAATTGCACGTCAGAAACAGGGAGACCGAGCCTGCGATTTTCCTGACGAATACATATCTATTCTGCAACCTCGGCATTAATTATTTAATGAATCACGTGACCAGGAGGAGGAAGGGGGTCTTTCGATTTCAGGCTCAAAGGACCACTATGACCTTCCCCTTCAGGAGGAGAAATTTTCCTGCAAAATAGGTTCCCCCCAACCCACCAATGGAATAGTAGCGAGTTCTCCTCTCTCCCGCATTCGCATCTGTACCTGCTGAACCTACACTCCGTAACCACCCCCCAGACACACTTACCCACGGCCCACCTCTCCTGTCTCCCTTCTCCTCCTGCTTCTGCTTAGTTCGTGGAGGTGCAGAAATAGTCTGCAGGGGCATCTGGTGGGATGGGCTCGGAGCCCTTCTCCAAGCCCCTGGATTTCTCAGCTACTAGTTCCTCTCTCTGCATCTTTTAAGATCAAGATTCCCCCCAACTCTATTCTCTCCCTCATTCCTAGGGTGTTTATCTTAGTGGGACCTACTCCCCCTCTTTCTTAAATAACTAACAATTCCTAAAGGAATGAATTTCAAAAGAAATACTTCAGAAGTCTAGATTATATATGTATAAAGAAGGGGTTTCTGGCTTTAACTCCCCTTTTAATCTTTTGTGGTGCCTTTTGAAAGGGCAGGAAAAGGACAGGATAAAGAGATGGCATCGGGAGCTTCCAAAGTTGAGAGTAACCACAAGGGGGACTTTTTTTTCCCGTTGTGTTACTACTACAGGGAACCAAATTCTACTGACCGACTGAGAATACACTCTAGAGACAAAGACCTGGACTAAGGTTCCTACACAAAAGAAGTGGACACTCAGTCTCTGTATACCTATGTAACACCCTGCCCCACAACACACTAGTGAAGACAACTGGAGATGTGAACTGCAGGGGAGGGGAAGGAAAGGGAAGAAAGAGGCTTTGAAGTTGGCCTGATCTGTCCCATCCCCATTTTCCAGGTGTTAGTACCCTGAACTTCCAATTGGCAGACAATGGAGACTGATCAATTAAAAAGATGGGGGCTGCATATTAAAGGGTTAAACACCGGTGATGATAGGAGAAATCCATTTCCTGGGCCTGGAGAGAGAAATGTACAGAGACTTCATCTCAGATATAAACAAAACAAAACAAAACAAAAAATCCCTCCAAACCTTCACATACAGCTTGGTGCCAGAAGGAGCAGACCAGTTAGGGTCAGAATCGCAGTCTTTGGCCACAGTGTGGGATGGGGTTGCAAAGGGAAGCAGAGAAGACATTCCTGCAGGAGCCCGTCGGCCACACTCCCAGTCTTATCTTCAGCAGCGCTGGGGCAGCCACGGCTGCAGGGGCAGGCAGACCGGGGAAAAAGAGATGCCTTTTGGGGGTGGGGGGTGGACATGGGGCCGAGGGGCTGCCAGTGATTTGTTTGGAGGGGTCCGAACCAAAAGCAACTCAACAGGGAGAAGGTTGAGGACCCAGGTGCCCCAACAACCCCCGAGAAAAACAGCCACCCCCACGTGGTGTCTGGTCCGGCGGTAGCGGCAGCGCGGCCCCTGCCCAAGGCACCGGGCCGGCCTAGACCCCTTGGAATCCCGCTCCCAACTCTCGGGCGGGGGGCGCCGGCAGGCCCAGGCTCTGTAGGGGGGTGGCCGGCTTTGATTGTGCAGAGACAAAACGCAGACTGGTATTGAATTCAGCCCCACGCCGGGCTCCAGCAAGGGCAACTTGCTGCAAAGTCCTGGCCACAAATCCATTAAAAGTGGTCCTCCAAAGAAAAGCACTTCGCTAAGGTCTAAACGAAAAATATGAAAGGGGGTGGGAAGGAGAGAGAGCAGGAGACAGAGATGCTGGAGCATGGGAGGACAGTAGTCTCTGAAACCAAAAAATTATTTTTAAAGGACAAGAAAAAAGAACAGCAGATGACACAAAGACACGCTGGACAGGTTCTGTTAAAATGCCCACACTCTTTTCGGATCCTGGGAATGTCCATGTTCAAATAAACAAGCGCCTGAGCGCGAGCGGGGCGCTTTCTTGCTGCCGATAAAGCGAACGTTTATACTGTGAGAAAGGCGAGATTGATTTACGAATCTGAACGCGCCGGTTTTATGGCCGATCACAAATCCGTCAGCGCTCAACTCACGCTGGGAAACTTCCCAACTCCGTTTTCCAACCAGACCCCCCTCCCAGGCCACCGCTTCCCAGGGAGACCCACCACCGGTGCTGGGGCTGCTCTGGCGATGGGCTCTGGCCGGACTGTGGGTTCCCAGTCTGCTCAGGTGGGTGGAAGTAGGAGGGAGGGTGCAGAGGGCCGGAGGGCCGGGGAAATGGAGAAAGAGAGGTCCAAAGATTCAAAGGACTGGGGTGGCCGCTAGAATCGAAGAAGGTGAGCCCAGGGGGCTGGGGAGCCTGCCCTCAATGATGGGCTCTGCAGAGGTTGAGATCTGGGAGTACAGGAGCCAGAAGATCCCGCAGTTCTGCCTGTGGGGCTGAAACCCTTGAAGGAACCCCAACCTTCCCTTTCCACTGTTTCTCCCGCTTTCCCTGTGGTGGTCCTCTAATCCTCACATTGCAGAGAGCAGCTTATAAAGACCCAGGTGACTAGATATTTGTCACCTGGGTCTACAGAGGGCTCACAGTTGGTTATCTGCACTTATGAGTAATGGGTGCACAGATCCCCTGAACCCCAAATATTTTCATTCCAGGAGCCATTCAGCTTGCCTTTCTGCTCACTCCCTTTTTTACCAAGGCCTCCAGCTCCAGCATTTATTAAGCCACCCAGGGACAAAGGAGAGAATGCCAACCAACGCCAGTTATTCCTTGCCTGAGACAGAGTCCCCAAGATACAGGAGACAATATTCAAAATGCAAACCAACACCCCACATACACCCCAGCAAGGTTTTTTCCTCCTAGTCTTAACTCAAGGGAACATTTCCTCTTCCCAGCTGGAGCCTGTCTGTCTGTCTGTCTTTCTCCCTTTGTCTCTATCCTCTCCTAAGAGGATGGTTGCTGGTGTAGATTTTCAGTCCAGCCAGTAGAATGCAGATTTAAAAAGGCTCTGAGTTCACTTCTTAGCAAGTCCTCCACGCATCTCTCAAAATTAAAAGTTGCTGGAAACTTTGGTTAATGTGGCACAGCTGTCCCTGGAAATGGCCAGAATAGACTACACTGGCCCTCCTCCCGTCTCTTGCTCCTCTGGTGGGGAGGTACTCCATGGGCTCCGTGAGTAGCTAGGGTGGGATTGGGGATTAGGGGAAGGAGGTGAGAGTGATTTTTAAAAATAGCTTCCTAAACAAAGGAACTTCAGAAAATGGGTTGAGAGGCTGTGGATTTGGATAACAGACCTTGAAACAGTAGCCATAGTAGGAGCCTTCTCCCTCCTTAGGACCCAGGGTTAGTTTCCCTAGCTCTCTGAGGCTCCTGGACCTCTCATAGCTGCCCCCCATTGTCTTTCTTCCCTCAGCTCCCTCCAAAGAAACAGGAAAGAAGGAAGGATGAACTGGACAGGGGTGGGGGTGGAGTCTGGCTGAGGGAAGGAGGTCTGCACAGAGAGACAGACCAGCACCCTACCTCCCTCCCCGAGCTGTGCTCAAAGTTTTATTTCTTTTTTCCCCAGTAGACAGTAACAGGAAAACAATCCAAAAATTCCAAGATAGCAAAGAAGGGATTGGGGGCTGGGGAGTGGAGAAGATGGGACACACAAGGTCCCCTCCCTGCAGAGGTGTGACTTTCCCTTCTGGGCAGGAGGCAAGAGCCAACACAATGTCCAGTCTCAGAGAGGTCAAGGGGCTTCCGAGGTCATTTTGTGGTTCTAATACTGCGCTAATCGCCTAGAAAACGTGGCCTCTCCATGAACTCTCTCTCCTGCCAGCCTCCTGCTTCCAAACTCTCAGTGAGCCCCAGGGAAAAGGGGCCAGTGCATTCTGGTCTGAGGCAGAGTCCACTGGCTCCTTCACCCTCAGAAGCAGGGCCCCAGAGAGGGGAACAGAGCCCCCAAACCAAGGAGCAAAAGGAAACCAGAGTAAACCCTGAGCCTCCAGGAAGAAGGGGGGCAGAGTCAAAGAGGAAGATTCCAGCATTGACGAACCTCCCCTGTGAAAGGAACAGTTTCCTGCTCCAGAGAGTTGCAAATATTTGTCTAGAATCCCAAACTAGACAGGAAAAGTAAAAACAAAGACATCCACCTATATCCAGCTCCGAGGTTGAGGCATTCCATCCACAAACTGCATTCCATTTTTCCAGGAGATGGCAGTGACAACAGCCCACTGGTAAACAGACATGTGGGACACCAGCCCCCGGTTTAGACAAGCAGAGTCACAGAATACACCAGCCCCAAGTGCACCTCACTACAGACAGACATGCACACACACCAGGGCTCCCCAGGCCCTCCGGAATTTTCTAAAACCAGAAAAAGCACTTCTGAGCTGCCTCGAAAACAACATTTTCTGGGGTTTTTCAGAAGCTCTGACACCTCAGTCCCAATCAGTTCAAACACTCTCCAGGTGTCAGTTCCCTCTCTCTCCCCAACTCAAGCATCAGTCATCATAAAAGGCATCAAACCTGACCAAGCGTCCACCATAAAAACCCTGCGAAGATAGTTGAAAAAGAAAAAGGAGGCGAGAGAGTGCTTCTTCTTTCCCTTGTAAAAAGAGCTCATAAAACGATCCAAAAAAAAAAAAAAAGCCAGCCCAGGCGGGGGCTTTGTTACCTTTGCGCCTCTCGCCTCCTCTCGCCTGAACTCTGCGGATCCCATTCATGACGAACGGCTTCTTCCAAACTGAGAGAAAAAAGTTTTCAACTTTATGGTTCCAAATTTTTTCCCCCTCGCAGATCCGGGAGTGGCAGCTAACACTTTTTTCCCCCAACAGCCGGTCTGCGGAGATTTGCTGTTGAATAATAACAAAGGAGAGAGGATACGTATTTAAAGAAAAGAAGTGATTAATGGTTTTCTGTATAATTCTCACATTTTTCTTAGCTCTTGTCTACACAGAATGGCTGTGAACTTTAAGCTCCATAGAAATCTTTTTTTATTCTATTCATACCTTCCTAAGAGCAGCTTTGATTTGGTTCTATAGAGACATTCCTGGGGGGGTGCATATGCTTTTTAAGAACAGTTCCCCCTCTGGAAGGGAAGGAAGGCCGCATCCCCTGGAAGCTAAACATCACACCGCGACTCCACCGAAAACAAAGCCCGCCGCTCTCATCTTCCAGGTCTGGGCAATTTGCTAGGAGTCTCCCTCCAGCAGTGAAACGGGCATTTCAAACACCCCTACCCACGCGGTGAACCCCGGCCCGGTCTGACCCGGGCCCTACCCAGCCTCAAATGCCCAGGCACTACACTTCAGAGCAACACAAAACAAACAACAATAAAATGCGCTGGTGGAATTGGCTATTTTTATTTTCTGAAGGGAAAGGGGACCGAAAAATGACTTTTAATTGCATATACTCTCCGGAGCCTGGAGATTTGGGAGGCAGGATGGCTGTACCAAGGGCTACCACAGGACCAGAGTGCTGAGGCTGGAGACCCCAGACCTTACAACTTCTCTTGGGTGCTGTCCCAAAGCGGCCCAAGCCTGACAGAGCTTCTGAGGGTCACCTGCACCCCCATCCCCTTCCCCCACTCCATTCTAGGGGTGACTGGGACCTCAGAGACAGAAAGCTATTTGGTCCCTAGTCGTACTTTCGATACTTTCTATGAGAAAGAAAATGAAAATTAATACAGGAGCAGGGCTTCACAAAAGAGGCCATTTGTCTTCTTGATTATCTATTTGCTTGTCAGAGTTTGAGCTATGGCACCGGCTAGCTCCTTTGTAATATAAAAATACTCTGAAAACCTGCAAACACCCAGAAACATCTGTGCAAAAAATTAGACTCATTAAAGCCTTAAACACCTCAGAGGAAAACGATACCTTCTTACGCAGGAGGAAAGAGGCTGGCCACGCAGAATCCTCTCTCGGAACTTTAATAAGCAAAGAGCCGTCTGTCTAGAAGGAGACAGCTTAACCGCATTTTATTTGCTTATGACAAATAAATCACAATATGAAAGCCTTTGCCATACTTAAGCCTCTTGTGTCCTACAATGAAACATTTTCCCCCCATTAGGGATTGGAATCAGCCCGCCCAGTCCTTTCAGTGCATTTTTGGACTACAGGGAAAAAATTAAAAGCCCCAAACAAAACACATCCACCCAAAAAGGAAACAAACCAGCTACCACAATTTGGAGTCCTCTGAGATAGAAATTCCCATTGGACCCTTTGAAAAAATTCCTCAGCCACATACAATGTGAGGCCAAATGGTCTGGGGTGCTTAAAAATATATGCTGGGTGGTATTCATCTGCATCGTTACATCAAGGTTTCAACAAAAACACGCCGTGCTGGTCACAAGAAACCAAACATTTATTTCTATTGTCACTCTGTACAGGACACACATTTTCACGCCAACGAAGGGTTCTAGACTCACACGGCCCCAGAACTAGGAAGGGGCCTGGTTTGGAATGTCAGAAAGAATAGGAGAGAGGAAGCACATGACATAAAATAATAATAATAATAATTAATAATAATAATAATAATAATAATAATATAATAATCAATGCAACAATGATAAACTATGGGAGAGGTCTCTGTAACATCATCTCCCAGATGGGAAGAGCACATTTTATTTCCTAGTTTCACATTCATTTCCTGTCTAGGAGAAAAGGCCTCCTCCCCTGTACAACTCCAGACTGGCAAGAGGGTTGTGCCCAGCTCCCAGAACTCAACTGCCCCGTCAGCCCGCCAGGAATGGCTTGACCTTCCAGAGGAAGGCCCCCTGTTCTCTAGGTCTCTCTCTTCTCTCGGACTCAGTTGCCCTGCCCTGCCCTGCTCCTGCGAAGCCGAGGCCGCCCCCCACCTCCGCTTGTCCCCGTCCTGCTGCCCCTTCCCCAGCCCCGCGTGCAAGGGGTGAGCGGTCAGCGTCCCCGTAAGAGGGCACGGAGTGGGAGGGAGGTTGTGTGCGTGTGTTACCGTGGCCAAAACACTGCGCTATCTGGCAGTCAGAGGGTGCTTTCGCTGGGTGTCAGGAATGGGGGACAAAGAAAGAAAATCCAGGCTGTCTTCCAGCAGCGGCGGCAGCAGCAGAGGCGGCGGCGGCCGAGCCGGGCCTCATTTGTTAGCCGGGTGTCGAGGTAATGGTCGCCACCGAGGCCCGTCCTCTCCTCGGCAGAGTAAACAAGACAGATGGGCCTGGGCCTGGCGTGATTAAAGATGAAACGTGGATCCATCTTCGCCAAAGCTGAAAACGAGGAGTGCAGCCTCCTCCTATTTCTCTTTCTGTCTTTTTCTTTCTTCCTTCTTCTTCTTCTTCTTCTTCTTTTTTTTTTTTTTAAGGAAGAAAGCCAGAGACTTGAACCTTGCTTCTGGGGGGCCTTGCCCGGCTCCCTATTGTCATTTCTATAAATAAAGCTTCCCCTTCCCCCTCCTCTGCATTTATTCGTGTAAATAGACAAAGTGAGGGGAGGGCAGGTAGGCTTTTCTGGGCCCAGGCCCTAGGGTCCCCTCCCGCATCTCCCCACAAACCCCTCCCCGCGCACGGAACCCACCCCCGCCCCGAGGTTCTCGGCTCCCGTGCGGGGGCACTAGAGCGCAGGGGGGCCTCCGTTGGGCCGGCCAGGGGGCCCTCCGGCTGCGCCTGAGGTGCCACCCGAGCGGATCTTGGTGTTGGGCAACTTGTGGTCTTTTTTCCACTTCATGCGCCGGTTCTGGAACCAAATCTTGATCTGGCGCTCAGAAAGGCAGAGCGCGTGGGCGATCTCCACCCTCCGGCGCCGCGTCAGGTAGCGGTTGTAGTGAAATTCCTTCTCCAGCTCCAAGACCTGCTGGCGAGTGTAGGCGGTCCGAGAGCGCTTGGGCTCCCCACCGGCGTAATTGGGGTTTACTGGACACACACAGAGAGAGGGAGAAAGAGAAAGTTTTATTGCCCCGAAAGGGAGGAGGGAGAGCCCTTTCTTACAGCTAACACAGTGTCTTGCTCCCTCCCTCCCTCCCTCTCCCGCCACCTCTTCTTCCTCCGGAGGGGGTGGGGACGAAAGAGAAAGCGGGACCCCAGGAAGAGAAAAAGATTTCTAAGTTTTGGAGGGTTGTGTGGTCTCGACGTTGTTGTTTGGGTGTCTGGGGTGGGGGGGAGAATCTTCAGGAGGTTTCAATCCCTCCTCTCTCCCCCCACTTGGCTTGGAGCCTGGGATGGGAGAATGAGGGGTGAAAAAGGGAGGAGGGCTTCACTAGGGCTTTCTTCTGTTAGTTCCCACCCTCTCTGCTCAGATTCCAAACAGTGCCTGCCCCCAGTAAAAACTTTTGCCCACTTCTCAAGCCAAGAAGCCAGACTAGAGGAAAGAAAGGAAAAAATAAATACTGGGAGTTGACTCAACTCTCCGCTTAAATACAGATTACCTCCTCCCTCTTCTCCTCCCCCACCTCTACACCCCTCCTCAATTTCCAACTTCACTGATACTGCATCTCCCTGGCGAAAAAGTCGCTGGTGGGAATGGCAAAGAGGATGGGGAACCGACTTCAAAGGCGTGGGGCCCACCAGGCCATAAAAATTTATGGGGGATGTAATTATGTGACTCTGAAAACAGGCGACCGTAAATCTCCGGCAATGGCGAGTTTATAGCGGGGACAATTGGCTCTTCCCCCTACCCCCGCCCCATGCCTCCGAGGTCCCTTTGGTGTAAAGCGTTGGGGTGGGAGGGGGAAAGGGTGCCCACGCACTCACCCGTGCTCACGTGAACTTTGCGCATCCAGGGGTAGACGACGGGTTCTTTGCACGCGGAGTGGGACGGGCTGGGGTGCAGGGGGTTCTGAGCGCAGGGAGGCGGCGGGGGGCTGCTGCTGACCGCCTCGCAGCGCTGGCCGGGCTCCGGGAGGAGGGCCCCGGAGGGCGGCGGTGCAGGAGCCCGAGGGGACAGGCCGGGCGGTGGCG